TTGATTTTCCACTGGTGTGTTCAAACTAACAGCCCGCTTCGAAGACGTTTCGTAGCGTAGTATCCTCAGATGGCCACTCGCTTCACAACGTAGAGTGATTAGTTGTCATGGCTCCCGGTGTAGCTTCGAAGAATTTGGCGTGTTTTGAATGAGTGTATCTGTCGTAGAGCTCAAAAGCTCTAACGACGAGAAAACTAAATCACCTTTTCAAAACACGAATAAGTAGTCTTGGATTTTTCATTTTTTCCCCCCTGGCTTTCAAACTTGTCTATCAGTTTTAATTGGATTGGGAATGGTAAATCACAATGACGTCATTCTGGGAACACATCAGTAAATCTGATAAATGAAAACGAACGATGCAAGTGTTTCTTAAAGTCTCAATAAAACGTATGATAAGCTTGTACTGCTGGGAAAAGATCTTTTAGGATCCGAATGGCATGACGAATATAGGCGATCCTGCAATGTTTCGTTATAAATTTTCTATTTTTTTTTTTCGAAGTCTGTTCTCGCGATTTTTTGTCTTGCCTTGGGGCGTTTTAGCACACAGTCAGATGTTGGCGATTTGCTGTCATTTCACGACGGAAACTCAAATAGACTTTAAATGATTGAGCTTACATCAAAATAATGCATTAGGAAGCCTCCAGATAAGCTATTTATTGTATTGCAGAATAGTGGAGCAAGAAATTAGACCAAACTAAAATTAAATAAAAAAGGAACGTGCGAGAATTTCAACCCACTCCTAGTAGATCAATTTAACGTTCTCATGCCATTTTAAGTTCCAATTAACGTTACCAGCTGAACCACACACATTAGGAGCTCCGGAAGTGTGAGCATATATCACAGGATTCTTGTATAACACTGTTTTGCGATGTTTGCATGACTTGCCTTATCTTTCCCTCGGGTATAGGTTTGATTTACTTGTGGGTGGTACATTGCGCGGCCTCAAACATGCTATGCGGCTAGAACAGGAGGTTTAATGAACTCTTTGCACCRCAAAACCGAGTAGAGCGAAACTGACAATGACGTCATGAATTCTGACGTCAAAATGCTACTTTTTTCCCCGTAAATTTAGTTGTTTTTTCTTCGTCCTATATTTTTCTTTTTTTTTTGTTGTTGTTGTTTATTTCACTTCCTATCTATTTAATCGCTGACCCTTTTGAAATAAATTCTCAGCGAGTTTCCAAAGCTATTCTTCAATTTTCCTTCCTTTTTTTCTTTCTTCCTTTCTTCCTTTCTTTCTTTTTCTTTTTAATTTAATTCGTTCAATCTTTTCAGTCTCCGTTTCTTTTCCTTTTCAATCTTTTTCTTCGAATTAACGAAAAAAGTTATTAAAAAATTTCAAAATATTTCACTGTTCTGAAGCACCAGATAGGTGGGCTTGGTGCTCAACTAACAAATATTTACCAAAACATCGATCGAAAAATAAAAAACATCTAATTCCTCTTGAAACAATAATGGATAATAACTGATAATTAACTCAATTTTTGTATTAAAATTGTTAAAAAATTTCAAATTTTTATCTCTTTCAAGGCCTCTCTCTGTGCGAGTCATTTTTTTTTTCTATGATATTCCACAGCCTATAGTTAAGTATTTTCAAAAAGAGATGCGTAAACCACATTTTTTCYCCCGCGTAAAGTTGCTACTCATGCTTTTTAGCGGTCGCGTTCTTTGATTGACAAGTGCAGCTTTGTTCAGCTGTTTTTCTAAATAAATTGGAATTTCTTGTGCTGTAGCCTTTACTATGTTTGTCAATAGATCGCAGAAGCTCAACAAAGATGAAAAAACCGTCAAAGTTCGCGAAAGTTAGCTGAACAAACTTTACCATCACTGGGGCCACAGACCGCTTTTCAAATAAAATAGAAAACGATTGAAAAGCTGGAAAACCGTATTCATATTTACTTAATTTATTCTTTGATTTTTTTCTTTTATGCTCTATTTTCTAGAACACTTTTTTTTCTATTATATGAAAAAAATAATTATAAAAAAAAGTTTTTGGTCAAAGGTGATGCAAAGAAACTTGACAAACACAACGCAAGTCACTAAAAGACGCTCTCTTTTATCCTTTATTTCTTTCACTTTTTTGTTGCTGTTTTTAAGTTTTAAGTCGATAATGCGGTTACCATGCGAGTTGTAAAAGTCTCTTTTTAATCTTACTCTTGATTTTACTAATTACTTTCAATTTTCCTTGTGATGACATTAAGCTTAAGATCTTGGTAAGTCGCCTAGCAACGCCTCAAATCTGGCTGACAATGCTCCGTATAGCATGTCTGTGTTCTGCATTTAAAACCAAGTCTAAAATGTTGCGTTGGTCGTCAGGTTGCATCTTTGATTTTAATATTATACAATGTATATATAACCTGGTGAAAACTGGTTTGCATCGGTTTCCTTGATCCACCTTCCCGGCCAATCAATATTGAAAGACGTTATCCAAATATATAACCTGCAATGGTAATCTTTATCAAAATATACCTATTCTTTGAATCGAGTTAGAGGCTTATCCATACAACACTCAGCTAGCTTATTATTAATAAATGTCTTCATTCATGTCTTTTTTCAAGTAGCTTAAATATGAATGGCGTTGGTTCAAAAATTAGGCTAAAGGGCCTGAAACCATCTGCACGAGATTTTTYCCCCTGATATTAGAACCATTAGACTCAAGGTATTTCTTCTTGCCAAATTTGAACCAAAAACCATATTAAACAAGTACAAAAWATATATATATTATTTCGGAGTAGTCGGGTCAGTGATATTTCCCAATGTAGGAAATATATATATATATGAAGCTCGCAAGCTGGTGCTTTTAGAATTCTAGCAATTCTAGCAAAGTCTTACTGAATTATTAACGACATCAGTAAAATTTTAATACAAAATGATTGAAACTGAGATAAAAGATTCGCTCTCGGTAAATGACAGGGCAGGTGTGTCCAGCCGTAAGTAACAACAACAGGGATGAAGAGCCTCACTGGGTGTCAACCACTGAAATAAGACAAAATCCTTATTGAAATAGCAAAACAATTCGCAATTACAGCTCAGGGAAAGGACTCGAAAGCAAAATCTCCCGTCGAGGCCCATCAATGGATAAAGCGTATTTTCATTTTTGTAGTAACATGAAGCAAAAGATTTCGAGCGCTCAAACACTTTCAGCTCTAGGACTCGGCGTTGAAATGAAATATTTCTTAGTTTGAAACAGCTCCAACCCGAGAGGGGATTTCGATCGAGAGCATGGTTGCAGGATGCAAACACTAATAAATAATTCTTAGCCATTCACAGCTTGGCTCTGGAGTACGGTGCTAAAATTTCTAGCTGTATAAGATACTTATACGATTAATCAAGTTAACTACGGGGAGTCGTAAACTCAAAAAAAACTAAATCGAAATTTGGTCGCTGGGTTGTGCTTAGTGAACTAGGGGTAAATACGATTATATATCAACGCGCAACGACAAACCAAGAAGGAACCTTTATTCAAAATAAACAGCCGCTAGATTTGAGTATCATTCAACTTGATATACAAACGGATGTTAACAAACTATAAGTTAACACTATGGAAACTGATTATAAGTAAGTAGACCGCTGATTTGACGGCTTTAGAGTGGGAACTATATTATGACTTTGCACTCGTACAGGCAACAAATAAAACACGCATGTGTATATAGACGCAGAATGCCGAAATTTCACGCCTTTAGCAAAACGGGATGCATTTTAAATGGCTAGAGCGAGCACGCATGACCTCTGACTCAATCTTGCCTTCCAACTTTCTCTTTCGGCAACTTATACATCACCAAGGAAGTAGCGCTTTCGAAGGAAATTAAAATTAGAAAAAATCACGATTTTTTCTTTCTCGGCTTGTTGTTATGAATCATTTCTTTTGTCGTTCAGCTCTTCGAAACTAAAAGCAACGTGGATCATAAATACTAGTAATTATTAGTTTGTATTCACTCCTAGAAAAAAAGATTTAGATTTAAACTAGGTATAAACGAACTAGTAAGCTAACCTAACTTTGACGTCACTAATCAACCTGTAGTGGTCTTGTATTTATTATTCTCATATTAATACAACTCATTTCCCGTTGTCAGAGAATACGGTCATAATAACGAATGTAATGAGTAGCGATGTTCTCTCTTTGGCCTCCTAAATAACGTGCGTGTCGAAAAGTCTTCGAAAAGTCACTCAGTTTACAGGTTTACCTTAAGTAAGCTTGTTTTTCTGTAATCTCAAAAATATTTTTGTAAAAAAAAGTGTACCACTGTTGACGTCAATATTATTATTTTTTTAATCACTATCAATATTGTTTTGGAAACCGACCTATGCATAAATGACGAATCGCTGTATCTTTTTTATCGACTGTAAGGCTATTTTGAAACTTTATCTGATCTATATCTTAAATTGCTTTCTCTGGCAAAATATTTATAAGTCCGAAGAATACAAAGTGCGAACCGCGTGTTTCACTTGTCTCTCTTGACTTTATGTTCCTGATTGTATTACTCTTACGTACGTAGCGACTCATCAAAGGAATAACACATTTAAGGGCTCTGCAAACTTGATATATATTTTATGCCTTAAACATCAGGCAATGGTTTACCGAATTTCTAAGAGCAGTGTGAACACATGGCCCCGGCCGAGTTGACTGTTTTTGAGAGTATTGAATGTGTTAAGACCAAACGCTAAATATTATAGATGAGATAGTCTGAGGTGAGACCCCGATTCGTGGATTCCAAGGTTTTGTTTTTCTTTGTGGGAATATAATTTTTCTTGCCTCGTACACGTAGTCGTTATCTGCGAACTGGTCCCCGAGGTCGAACAACAGAATCTCTATGACAGGTGGATTCTGTGAAAGTCTTACGCCGCGCGATTCTACAATGGTATTCTTTCATCAACGATCGACAGACACATGTATATATCAGCGAGCTTTCTTTCCCGGCTCCGTTATCACGACCGGCCGTATTCCGTTTCATTACAAAGCTGATACAAAAATAAAAGTAGAAAGTAGTGATTTAACTTACCTATTCCACACTTGTCACACAAAACGATTTCATTCGGCTGCGCTGAAGAACCGTCTTTGCAAATGATGCACACAATTTCAGCGGTAGTTTCTGTTACTAAAGAGAGAAAAGACAGGTCATGATTTACAAGAAATTCCGCCTGAGCCTCAAGGACATCCATAAAATCATCTCGGCTCCTTCTAGTTGAGCCAATTCCTAATCCAAAGCTGGGTTCGTATTCCACAACCAGACAGACATCGCGCTACGACCCGACCGGATTCAGGCAAATATGAATTTCCCGGTGGAGGAAACAGAATTGTATAAAGAAATTATAAAGATGAGAAATTAAAGACAAACCACTGTGAATCTTGGAAAACGGGCATTCCTCGACTGAATTATCGTCAAAGATAAGATGGCAGTAAGATTTAGCACTGTCGATTTTCTGAATTTTAGCGTAGAACAATTTATCTTCCCACTCGGCTAATACCACATCTCCGACATCAAATTTGAAATCATCCATTCCTCGTTTCCATTGAGCTTAAAAATCGACGAGCGACAACTCGATGTGTCTGCCCTCAATCTATCTATTCTTGACAACTTGATCAGTATCCGGCGRTAGAAGAGAGAAAGGCTCAACGGCTTGAGACGAGCGTTTGTCCGTGAGATCTCCCGTCCTTGACTCAGTCAGTTGTGAACTACGATAGCCTCGACTCGGTGCCAACACAGATGACGTCCTAAAGAGTCTAAACTCATTTGAAACCAACAGTTTTTTCCGCGTTCGCTTTCAGTTTCTTCGACTCGAAAATCACGCCAGTTTTCCATCGAGGGAATATCCCCATGGTTTAAGCATACTCACCAGTTTAAAACCACAAAAATACTTCCAAATTTGAGCAATTTGGTTTCTAGGATGCAGTTTCCGCTCGCATAACTTCAATTAATAATGAAAAATTTCCCGCTATCTATTTTTCTTTTACGCTTATGTTCTGTCTATTGTTATGTAAAGTCGAACAGCTTGCACCTGTATGGACAAGAGTCTGACTTTGTATAAAACTCTGTCTTTTTGGTAACTTATCACATATCCAGCAATTCTGATGGACTTGTATGTGTGTGTGTACGTCTGATCTCAATGTTCGACTGCAGCTGATAACACAAACCTCCACTCCTCCGACAAAATTAATCCTCATTATTTGAGTTAGAAATTACTTTCACTAGAATGAAAGTCGCGAAAATTTCCATTAAGAGATATACAAAAAAAGATGATGTGATTCGAAATAGCTTACTTTATAAATGAGGTACCGTCGCTTGCTTTGCCGAGTTCGCCTGACCGCGTTCTTCAAATTAGTTAGCTGGCTTTGTGTTGTCGTTTCCTTCGGCTCAATTTTCTCTAGGATTTCAAACACACATTAAACCATCAATTTAGGTTGGCCGACTGAATTAGTCCAGCTAACATCTGCTCAATTGTTTACGAGTTTTTTTGGGAAAATCTTCTCTTCCGGAGCACGTGCCCAACTCTCGAGTGAAGAGCCTTCCGGGGAAGATCTTTTTGATATCTCTTAAGCTTTTTTCTCGTTTTGACATGACCGTTGTTTCTGGTTATGACAGGAACCATCATTCACCAACAACAGAAAAAAATAACCATTTTTAATGCAACAAGCGCGGAAATTATTTTTCCTGGGTGTTAAATTTCACTGTGAAGAATAAAAAAATTATTATTTTTGGCGCCCCTGAAAAAAACCTAGGGACTCGAATTTATTTTTTCGCGCTGTTCATATCCGCCTTGAAGCACTTTATTCTAAGCGCCTACGACGTCCTTTCATAAAGTTATTGATGAAGTATTTATTTTGAATTGAGGCAGGTGCGTTCTCCCATCAAATCCTTCTTATACTTTGCCAGCTGTCTCCAAACACCCATCCTCCAGTCACGTGACCCCTAAACGCGCGACCTAGGATATAGATACCGTCGTGAGGAATCTAGGAATGATTCTGTATACCTGGATCGAACTTTTGGTAGGGAATTTCACCGCAAATGACAGATATTTGAATCTCTTGAGAGACATAAAAGATAGGCGCGCGGCAGTTTTCAATTAGAATGCATGGAAAAGATAAAACACAGTGTTATTAGCGTAACGCAGAATAGATAAATTGGATATTACATATAATTACTTCTGAGCTTTCAAAACAAAACAAAAAAAATAGTCTATCACACAGGTGTTTCAGGCTTTGGGGTGAAAGAAAAAAATATAACATCCGGAAAATTTCGGGATTTGGTATATAAGGACTAGATGGCTAAAAAGATTGACCAGTTCCGTCGTCCAATCTTCAAAATTGATCAAACCTCCAGATTTCTATGAATTTTTCAATCAGGCTTTTTTTTCCCATAAATATTTTGCCGAATATTTTTTTTACTGTCTCGTTGACTAACATAGGCGAATATCGGAAATATTGCTCCGCAAGGCTAAACCGTATTTATTTATACACTTTATATCTAAATAACAGACACAGGGAATAGTCTTAGAGGCTCGCTAATTAGAAATGGTGAGTGTAATTGAATGGAGGAGAAACAGATTACAGTTTACTTCCTGTCTTCTCTATAATCATCTTGGTTTTGGAGAATGGGATCGGAAATGGCCTTAGCCGAATCAATATGTCTCTTAGCTCCTTTTTGTTCGCTTTAAGAAGGAAAAACAACCTAATAGGGATACCCGGCAGCAATGATGAAATAGCTGGACACTTTTTAACGAGCTATAAAAACTTCCACTCTCAGTTTTGCGTCGTTAAGTCTTAGTTGCCCAAGTTAGTTCGCTAATACTTAAATTGACATCTTGTTAGGATCAAGCTCCTAATGAACTCGACAATCCTCCTCGATTGAAGACATTGTATTAGACTCTTAGACGTGTGTGTTTGTAGAGACGACAAAAAAAAACCCTCTTTGTAGTGCATTATATTCATCATTGCACGTGCGAATACAATATCGAGTTCTTGCGCACTCTCGCACCAATTCTAGAAACACCTAACTTTCTCTTTTCCTTTGTAGCGAACACCATTTTCCATTGGCAAGTTGTTAAAATTATCAATAATTTTCAAAAGGTCGTTTGAAGGTTGTAAAGTCCTTTTGTCCTGCTGTTTAAATAAAACTAAGTCACCTTGCAAGATGGCTGTCATTAAGTTTCTCAAGACATCCAACTTAGTATTCAAACTATTGTTCATATTTCCATTTATCGTAGATGGTAAACCAACCTTCAAAGCGGTTGAAAACTAACAGTATTTGAACATACATTCATCAGCTGGCTCTGTGAGTTGAAACAGCTTGATATCTATAAACATTTCTTCCATAATGGATAAAGAACGCGCGAGCTGCTAATTTGTTGTTCAAAACAAAACAAAAACAAGAAAAGGACGGAGAAAAAACCAACCCACACTCCATCTTTTGATGTGGCATTTCTTCTTTTGTTATACACTAGTATTTGATATTGTTATTTTTTGTTTGTTTAAAGGCCTTTTGGTCGTGCCGTAAGTAAGTCAGTCGTGACATAATTGCCCATTGTTGGAACTTAAATACAAATACACCTAACATTACAATAATCCCGTCCGAGTCAAAGCCTTCACATGACAAAGTAAGTTCTCTAGACGGTCTGTCGCTCGGCTAAACCGTTAAATACCCCTATTGTCCGGGCTAAAGAATGCCAAGGCGGTGTATACGGAAAAAATGGGTGTAAGAATTAAAAAATCAAATAAAAATAGATAAACAAATTTATTATATCAAATGATGAGTCGTCACATTTAAACTGTTAAGTAACTTGTTAAGAAGAATATTCGGACATTTTAGTTAATACATTACTCTAAATGTTATTATCAGAATCAAAGTCATAACATTTGCTTCCTAATAAGAGTTACTTAAATTGTTGATTTAATAAATGAATTTTAAAAAAACTTTAAACTCTGTCTTTTTATTTAGTTTCTAGCTCCTTCTATCTTTT